TTGCAAATTTCCAGGATATTGAAAAATTGGGTTATTTGAGTGCAGCTCAAGCACTGGCTGATTATGCGCAACTGATACCGTTTCTGAAAGCTGACAGCAATGAGCTTGGGTCGTTCAATTGCCCTGCTGGTACCAATATCCCTGTGATTGCATTCGGTGGTTCCTATGGTGGCATGCTTGCAGCATGGTTTCGCATGAAATATCCACACATTGTCGATGGGTAAGATATGGTTTCCAAGATTTTCATGTTAGACGAGCATTGTCAAATCAAGAAAGGATAACTCCCTCATTTTCCAGGTATCATGCGTCAAATTTTTGACTTGTTGCTTGATGCTTGAAATGGCTATTAGTTCACCCCTGATTCATATTAAAATTAGCCGCCGGTGATCAACCAACAATCGCGCCAGATACTTTAATTTAATAATTTTCATTTATAGTATATGGGTATATTTCTTACTGTATTTGATAGTTATTGCATTACTGTAGCTTCTACATGGATCACTATCCCCTCGCCGTTCCAAGTGCTGGGTTTTTCCTTGCATTGGTTATTTTTCAAATTCCAGTGCCTGGTCATCTTCAGCTCCGTTGCGGAGCTTTGAGGGAACAGACATTCCCCCGTACAGCTTGGATGTCATCGCCACACGTACGTTTGTGGAGAGTGGTTGCTCTCGTGATGCATTTGCTAATGGATTCGTTGCTCTCTACAACATGTCTCAAACAGGTCTTTTTACATTCATACTTGTATGAAAGGCATATTTTTGAGTTACCAAGTCAAGAATTGTTTTGCCAAAGAGCCTTCGGACCCAAGCGCGGATGGCAAGTGTCATGAAAACTGCAAGACTGTCAGGACAATCAGTTTGGGTATCCCATGTTAGTGATGTTACTGAAGTGCCAATTCGCATATAAAATCAACTTTTAATAAGGACCAGCATAAATTGCAGAAGATGGACGAAAACAGCTCAATGAAATATTCAAAGCAAAACCAAAATACGAAATGAAAAATGCCAGTGATTTTTCGAGTTTG